AAAAAAAAAAAAAAAAAAAACGTTGACTCCTCAAGTGCACAGCTCACACTGAGGTTTGTGTACTTTAACAACATAACCTTTAACATTTCGTTTTGTTTTGCTTCTGTTTACCACATCCTTCCTGTAGTTTTTCTGCTCTCATATTTTATTAGAGTCATCAAGATTTTTTAAAATTCTGCCTTAATCTGCTTTAGAAATTATGCCTTCTATCTTTAGTTTTTGGTTGCTCCCAATTTCCAATATTCATATTTCATGTAAAATATCCTAAAATAATTTAACTCTTGTCCCCCAAAATACAAGAATCTTTCATGCCTATTATGACAACCATACCTTCCTTTTAAAGTTGTCTAGTAATTGAGTTTATTTTTATAACATGTGAAATTTTTTTCTAACAGCCAATGATCATGGGATTTACACACATTTGCTGATTTTTTTAACTACTGTGTTTGAATGCTAAATTCTTTACTCGATTCTGGAACTTAATTTCCTACATCCATAAGTAGATCTTTCATTTGTTCTGTTAGAGAATAACTTTAACTTTTTTTTTTTTGTATCAGGTATCGAACTCAGGACCTTGAGCTTGTGAGGCAAGTGGCGGAACCACTGAGCTAAATCCCCAGCCCTAACTGTAACTTTTAAGTTGTTTCAATTTCCTTGTTACATTGAAAATATTTTTCATTTATCCTTATTCTTGAATGATAGTGTAAGTAGCATGAGCAGATGGAATATTAAAACAGATTTTTTTTTTTTAATTTTAGAGAAAATGTCTTTTCCAAACTTCCTCAGGCCTGGTGCACAAATCACTACCCCTAGCTGCCCTCAGGCTAGACCAGTGGTGGTGAACCTATAGTACACATGCTGCAGCAGGCACAGATCCCTCTCTGTCTGCATGCAAGCCAAGCCAGCACTGCTCCAGCAGCTGAGCACTGTATATTCAGGCTTAATTGCAGTTTTGGCACTTTGCAATAATTAGTGAGTTTTGGATTGCAGTTTGGGCACTCAGTCTCTAAAAGCTTTGCCATCACTGGACTAGATGAATGGACAGAATATGCAGATGCTGGCACTAGGAAGTCAAAATTCAGTTTCACTTTCACAGGCAAGAGAGAGAGAGGTCCAGTGCAAGAAGCAGAGACAAGCCTGGATATGTCTATTATCTCACTGTATTCCCTTCTCAGTGCTGTTCATGCTAG